CCATGTCGCCCAGGCTAGTCTCTAACTCCTGAGCTCTAGGAATCCACCTACCTTGGCCTCCCCAAATTGTAAGATTACAGGGGTGAGCCACTGTGCCTGACCCCGAGTTTTCTTTTGGTTATATATGCATTGATTGTCTCCATTTGACTGTTCTGTAATGTCATTTTCTATAGAGGAATAGAAGGATAATTTAGAGTACCTCTAGCTTAGTTAATGGAAATTTGCTTTTTTATTTTTGACAGTTTACATAGGTTTCTTTCAAATTCTCAACTATGACTAATACAATGTAATTTTTTAGGATTATTATCACATGTGGGGAAACCCTTTTTTTTTTTTTTTTTCCCAGACAGTGTTTCCCTCTGTTGCCAGGCGCCAGGCTGGGTGCAGTGGCACGATCTTGGCTCGCTGTAACCTCCGCCTCCTGGATTCAAGCAATTCTCCTGCCTCAGTGTCCCAAGTAGTTGGGACTACAGGCACGCGCCACCACACCCAACTAATTTTTGTATTTTTTTTTTTTTTTTTTTTTTTTTCCTGAGACAGTCTCACTCCATCACCAGGAACCAGGCTGGAGTGCAGTGGCGCGAACTCGGCTTGCTGCAACCTCTGTCTCCTGGGTTCAAGCAATTCTCCTGCCTCAGCCTCCAGAGTAGCTGGGACTACAGGTGCGTGCCACCATGCCCAGCTAATTTTTTTGCATTTTTAGTAAGACGGGGTTTCACCATGTTGGCCAGGATGGTCTCGATCTTTTGACCTTGTGATCCGCCCACCTTGGCCTCCCAAAGTGCTGGGATTACAGGCGTAAGCTACTGCGCCCAGCCGGGAAACAAATTCTTTTAAGAGTCACAACTGAACTACAAGATTTCAGAGCATTTCAATTTTTTGTGAAGTGACTGCTCTTAAATATTGTTTCAGTTGACCAAAGTATTCTTAGAAGACTTCCCAACTGAGATGGACAGCAATAGTTTACACATGGAAGAGATTTCAGAGTACACAAATATATCCCAGTCACTCATTAACAAGATCTCAGAAATGTCTACTGCAACTACATGGTTACAACAGGAAGGGAAAGTACACAGAAGGTGCAGGTGAAATGGAAAGAGACAGTAGTCTTAACTGATTATGGTAAAAATATTTCTGTGGCAGGGTGTGGTGGCTCATGTCTTGTAATCCTAGCACTTTGGAAGGTCAAGGCAGGTGGATTACCTGAGCTAAGGAGTTTGAGACCAGCCTGGGCAGCAAGGCAAAACAGTCTCTACTAAAATACAAAAACTTAGCTGGGTGTGGTGGCATGTGCCTGTAGTCATAGCTACTTGGGAGAATGAGGCGGGAGAATCGCTTGAACCAAGGAGGTGGAAGTTGCAGTGAGCTGAGATTGCACCACTTCACTCCAGCCTAGGCTAAAAAGTGACGCTCTGTCTTAAAAAAAAAAAATTGGCAAATTTAACAAAAAAGTATATAAATGTGAAGAGATATTACTTTGTTCCTTTTTTGGAAGGTACTCATTAGTAAGTTTCATAGTTATTCCGCCTCTGACTTGCCTCTTCTAGTTTTTTGGATTCTTGAATGAGGTAAAGCAGACTTGAGAAATTCTTAAGACGCTTAATATGTAATCAACAAATATTACCAGAAAAATGAAAGAATTTTGGATAATTTTTTAAGCTGGTTGTTGAATATGTGTGTGTGGGAGGGAAGGGCTTGCTTTTTCCTTTTTCTTTTTTTTAGAGATGGGGGGTTTTGCTATGTTGCCCAGGCTGGAGTGCAGTGGCTATTCACAGGCGTGATTCCACTACTGGTCAACTTGGGAGTTTTGACCTGCTCTGTTTCTGACCTGGGCTGGTTCACACCTAGGCAACCTGGTGGTTCCCCACTCCGGGGAGGTCACCATATTGATGCTGAACTTAGTGCGGACACCTGACTGGGCATAGTACACTACAGCCCAGAACTTCTGGGCTCAAGCAATCCTCCTACCTCAGCCTCCCGAGTAGCTGGGACTATCGGCACCTGCCACCATGCCTGGCTTTACCTTGGCTTAAAATTTTCCCAATAAAAGTATTTTTAAAATCACATGAGATAAATGTAAAATAATTGAACATTTTTGTATGCTGGAATCCTCTAAATAGATTCTTTTCTTTTTCTTTCTTTCTTTTTTCTTTCTTTTTTTTTTTTTTGAGTTTGAGTCTCACTCTGTTTCCCAGGCTGGAGTACAGTTGCATGATCTCTGCTCATTGCAACCTCCTTCCCCCACATTCAAGCAATTATTCTGTCTCAGCCTCCTGAGTAACTTGGATTACAGGTGCGCTCTACTGCACTTGGTTAATTTTTGTATTTTTAGTTGAGACAGGATTTCACCATGTTGGTCAGGCTGGTCTCAAAATCCCAACCTGAAGTGATCCGCCTGCCTCAGCCTCCCAAAGTGCTGGAATTATAGGAGTGAGCCACCCCACTTGGCAAATTATATTATTTCTAAGTAATAATAGCTATTATTAACAATTTTTATTTTTAAGCAAAAACCCCTAGTCCCAAAATAACTTAAAATATTTCAAATACTATAATACAATACTATGAATTGGCCCTTTTTTTAAAAAAAAATTGCTTTTTAAGATACTATATGTACCTGAAAAAAAGCACCTTGAGTTCTAAATATAGCGTTGGATTTTGTGGGAGAATCTGTAACCTTCGCAGTGAGCACCCAGAGACATGCGCTGTGTAAGACATCAGTAGCATTGCTGGGCTCTCCTAAGGGAGCAACAGGCTTGCTGAAGAAGCTGATATAGTTAACGATGATGCATCAAACCCGAGCATTTCTACCAGTCAATTAAGCATGCATAGTGGTTTCTTTGAGGATACATATTTCCCCATTCCAAAATACACAGTTGATGTATGAGAAAAATTTGTTATATTCCTACCTCAAACCAATTCTAGAAAAGATTAAAGATGGAATAAAGAGGAAAAATTAAGTCATAAAATAAAAATAAACTGATGATTATTTTTGTGTTCTCTGAATGAGAAGGATATTTTCAATCCAAAGGTAGTGAAGCCAAAGTGCTCCAACAAACCTTAGCTAATGCATGAGTTCTGCCTGTGAACATTTCTTTTTTTTTTTTTGAGACAGAGTTTCGCTCTTGTTACCCAGGCTGGAGTGCAATGGCGCGATCTCGGCTCACCGCAACCTCCGCCTCCTGGGTTCAGGCAATTCTCCTGCCTCAGCCTCCTGAGTAGCTGGGATTACAGGCACACACCACCATGCCCAGCTAATTTTTTGTATTTTTAGTAGAGACGGGGTTTCACCATGTTGACCAGGATGGTCTCGATCTCTTGACCTCGTGATCCACCCGCCTCAGCCTCCCAAAGTGCTGGGATTACAGGCTTGAGCCACCGCGCCCGGCTCTGTGAATATTTCATTAAGAATTTTACTCTGTGGTAGATGTATGGTCAGCATTTTCATCTGTTCTATAACAACATTTTTCTTGTGAATGTTTTTCATGCATTTGTCAATTTTGCAGCTTTCTCACAATTTTTCTTATAAAACCTTTATATTGACGCTGTGCCATAGCATTTCTTGAACATATATTTTAGTGGCGTGCAGTTCCCTGGGCCAGCAGTTTGCAAATGGATTCCTGGATGGTGGGAGGCCCCGGAGTCTTCTTCCAGGCTTTATAAATGTTCCAAAGGCCTTCTCTTTATTGTCATAGAGACCACTGATTCTAACAGGTGTGGCTTTTCTGCGAAATTTTTTTGTGTGTATCCTTGCTCTCTCTGGTTCTTTGTTCCGAGATGAATCTGGAAGAGCTTCTGTCACCAGCCCTGCACTCCCCAGGCCCTTCAGCACCTGCAGCTTCATGTGAACCTTTCACCTCAGGGAATATGTTTTTGCTGGACCTTTCTGAGCTGTACTGCTAAGAGCCCTCTGTTCTCTGTGCTTTTCTCTCTGCATTCCATCCTCATGACTTCTGGTGAAGCTCAGCTCCCACAGCTCTGTGCTCACTCAGTTGTTAGGTTTTTGGGTTGAAGATTTTACATTTCTTGGTAAGTTCCTCCTTTTCGGGAAGTATCGTTTTACTGATGCTCTCAGATTTGCTATTCATAAGGGACTCTGATATTCTCTTTGCACTTTCTTAATTTTAATTGCTTTTCCTTTTGACTGTAGATTTTAGGTGACCTACTTGCTGAAAAAAATGGGGCAATTTTTAAAAATCTTCTATATTTTGTTCCTAATTTTTCTTTGTTTCATTGTTTGCTATCTCAGAGGAGGAGAAAGAGGGTAAGGCTACCTACCAATGTGCTCCTAACAAAGAGGTATATCCAGTGTTGGTAATCACAAGCCTAATGCAAATCTGATTCTCATTTTATTCAGAAGCTGTCCCTCTATACTCCTCAAGGCTGTTTCAATGTTTTCATCTGATATACTAGAATTCGATGAAAATGCCTGTTGAGTTGTTTTTTTGTTGTTGTTTTTTTGTTTTTTTTTTTTGAGTTGGGGTTTTGCTCTGTCACTCAGGCTGGAGTGCAGTGGCATGATCACAATTCACTGCAGCCTCGATCTCCTGGGCTCAAGCAATCCTTATGGATTGAATACATGTCTTATCTTTTCTCTACCATGAAAATCCACGCATATTTCATTTTTCAGTTTCTGGGAAATTTCCTTCAATGGATAACTTCCAGCCTTTGAAAATTGTGGCTATTAAATTCTAATTTCTGGCTGGGTACGGTAGCTCACACCTGTAATCTCAACACTTCGGGAGGCCGAGGTGGGTGCATCAGCTGAGGTCAGGAGTTCAATACCAACCTAGCCAACAACCAACCAACCCTAGGTTCAATACCAACCTAGGGTTTTTAAGTGAAACCCTCTCTCTACTTAAAAAAAAAATAGCCAGGGGTGGTGGTGCACGCCTGTAATCTCAGCTACTCAGGAGGCTGAAGTGGGAGAATTGCTTGAACCCAAGAGTTGGAGGTTGCGGTGAGCCAAGATCTCAACACTGTACTCCAGCTCCAGCCTGTGGGCAACATTGAGACTCCTATCTTAAAAAAAAATTCTAGCTCTCTAGCCTACAGCCTGTGTCTATGGTTGGGCCGTCTGCGTCCAGCTGCCTGGGACAGAGATCGGGTGTATGGGGCCGCAGGAACTGGCTCCAGGGCCCCCATAACGGGCCACCCCGCAGCACCCCGGCCTGGCGTGAGGGTGTCCCTTGATCTGAGAATGGCTACCTCTCGATATGAGCCAGTGGCTGAAATTGGTGTCGGTGCCTATGGGACAGTATACAAGACCTGTGATCTGCACAGTGGCCACTTTGTGGCCCTCAAGATGTGAGAGTCCCCAGTGGAGGAGCTGGAGGAGGACTTCCCATCAGCACAGTTTGTGAGGTGGCCTTACTGAAGTGACTGGAGGCTTTTGAGCATCCCAACATTGCCTGGCTGATGGATGTCTGTGCCACATCCCGAACTGACCGAGAGGTCAAGGTAACCCTGGTGTTTGAGCACGTAGACCAAGATCTAAGAACGTATCTGGACAAGGCACCCCCACCAGGCTTGTCAGCCGAGACCATCAAGGATCTGATGCACCAGTTTCTAAGAGGCCTAGATTTTCTTCATGCCAATTGCATCGTTCGCCGAGATCTGAAGTCAGAGAACATTCTGGTGACAAGTGGTGGAAGAGTCAAGCTTGCTGTCTTTGGCCTGGCCAGAATCTACAGCTACCAGATGGCACTTACACCCATGGTTGTTACACTCTGGTACCGAGCTCCTGAAGTTCTTCTGCAGTCCACATATGCAATACCTGTGGACATGTGGAGTGTTGGCTGTATCTTTGCTGAGATATTTCGTTGAAAGCCTCTCTTCTGCGGAAACTCTGAAGCTGACCAGTTGGGCAAAATCTCTGACCTGATTGGGCTGTCTACAGAGGATGACTGGCCTCGAGATGTATCTCTGCCCCATGGAGTCTTTCACCCCAGAGGGCCCCACCCAGTGCAGTCGGTGGCACCTGAGATGGAGGAGTTGGGAGCACATCTGCTGCTGGAAATGCAGACTTTTAACCGACATAAGCCAATCTCTGCCTTTCGAGCTCTGCAACACTCTTATCTACATAAGGAAGAAGGTAATCCTGAGTGAGCAATGAAGTGGCTGCCATGGAAGGAAGAAAAGCTGTCGTTTCCCTTCTGGACACTGAGAGGGCAGTCTCTCCCTTCGTCTCTGAGGCTGTGGAGGCTCCACCTCCATCTTTCTACAGAGATTACTTTGCTGCCTTAAAATGACATTGCCTCTCCTACCTCTCCTTCTGAGGCCTCTCCTTCTGCGCCCCTGTTTCTCAACGCTAAGGGGTATGTTCCCTCATGTCCCTTTCCCTACGTTTATATTGGGGATCTTTTTTTATACAGGAAAAAAAAAAACAAAACAAAGAAAAAAAATTCTAACTTCTAAGAGCTGTTTCTTGTTTTCTGATTGTTTCATTTAATACTATGCTTATCTCTGGAAGCCTTTGATTTATCCTCTGAGAATAATAATTTTATTAAAAACTTATTTTCTGGGCATTATTTATTTCACTTAAGATCTCTTTCTCTTGTTATCTGAAATTTGCTTTCCTCTCTGATGCCTTTTTCTTTTATCCTTGGATGTTCTTTCATATTTAACCTGTTACTGGGTAGCTTCACTGGGAGTCACTGGGTAGAAGGGCATTTATTTTGTTGGGATAGCTACATATTAGTCTGATACTGTGTCTTGTAGTTTATGCTAAGTGGTTCTCCACAAGTTTCCTTGGTTCTCCTGGCTGATAATGTTTGCACAGAGGACAGACAAAAGGGGGCTGGAACTGTTAAAAACAGAATTATAATGAATTCTGTTTTCAGCTGTCCCTCATACTCACAACTGCACATGAAGTCCTGGGCCATGGGTGAATCCTTTGAACTTAATGCAGAGAATGTCTTGTGAGTAGATATGTGGAGATGTGTGTATGCAGTTTTTCAACCTTTTTGTTAAGTGGCACCTTACCTTCATTAATTCATTGCATGTGGTGTCATAGTTCTGAGTCCTTCCTGGATTCCCTGGGGCAGACTGGTTTTTTTGCCTTTGCCCTCTGAAATAAACTACTTCTCCACCTACTTTTCCCTCTCAAACTTCCTAAGCTGTCTAATGGAGATAATACTACATGATACCTTACAAAGCTGTTGTGTAGATTACACAAATTTATATATGTAATATGCATAGCACAGTATCTGGCATGGTGTAGATTACACGAATTTATATGTGTAATATGCATAGCACAGCACCTGGCATGGAGTAATCATTCTATAAATGGTAGTTATTAGTATTATACAATTTCTCAATATCCCAGACAGTCCTGGTCATATTAATTACCTGGGTAGTGATGCCAATAAAAATCCCTATGGCTGCTTTTGTGCAATTACTAATTTATTTGTATTCATTTTAGCAAAATAAAAAGTTGAGAGAAATGAAATAAATTCATGCTTTAATCCTGCCATTACAGTGTCTTAATTGTTAGAAATTTGTGATAAATTTTAACATCTGATAGTTAATCATTATTGAATATTCTTTTTCAAGAATATTTTGACTGTTTTCCTACATTAGTCCAGAAGAGTTTTACAATCATTTTGACTGGTTTTCTCTAATCTCCTTCACCCTTAAAATACTCTTTAAGATTTTGGTTACGATTATACTTAAGTAATTTTCAAATCTGAGGATAAGTTATATATTTATACAACTTATTTTTTCAAACCAAGAACAAGGTCAGCTTAACATATACTTTTTCTTTCTCCTCAGCAAATATTTGCATTTTTTTCATGTAGACCCTACCTACTAATTTAATTTCTATGTATTTTATATGTTCATATTTTACATGTTGCTACTATAAATGGGACATTATTTTATTTTTATTTTTGACTATTGCCTTATAGAAAAAATATATTTATATATTTATTTTTAAGTGTCCAAATAACTTTTTTGATTCAAGTAGGTTTTTTGGGTAGGAAAAAAAGTTTTTTTTTTTCAAATAATGATCATTTTACCTTCTCTTTCTAATATTTATGACTAGTATTCTTTTTCATATCTCATAGCATTGCTTATTACTTGAGAAATAGTAGACTTCAGAAGTAGTGGTTATAAATATGTTTATTTTATCCTTCACTTGAATAGGAATGCCTTTAGGGTTGTTATGTCTGATACTGGTTGACTGCATATAAGACATTCTTTAAACAAGTTTACCACTGACTTGTGTTTTACTTTTGCTGCTTTAAGCTAGAATGTCCCAGGAAGTACACACACAGTTTCTCTCACACATACAGCTCTCATAATACACTCATGAAAAGAAAACAGTTATTTGAGATTCTAATGTCTGGGACCTTTGTGGTAGACAATCAAGCTCTATCCTCAGAGGAAAAAAAAATGGACACTTGGATTTAAAAGTGGCAGGATCCAGAGGCAAAAAGAAGAGGAAAGGAAACAGAAGAGATTCTGTATCTTTGGAATTATGTGGCACAAATTCCTGGTACCACTTTCAGGTTCATTTGCTTTCTACATGATTTCATTTTATGATCACACTAGTGTGGAGACTGTACCCCATGATTTAAAAAAATCTTCTTGGCATTATTTTATTCTGTTAGTTTGAATTAAGCTGAACTTGTGAACAGTGATGGCTGTATCATAAATTCAAAAGTTATTGACTATTTGCTCCTATACCAAACAGTCCTGACTGCGTTTTTCTCTGTTTCAGATACTTGTTTTCTACCCTGAATTTTCCAGCTGTTATCTTTTCCTGCAACTTTGAGTATACTTGCTTCCAGTAAATCTCCCCTATCTCTACTAATCTGCTGCTTCTGGTCATGTCAGACTCAGTTATGCAATAAACCTGTTTAATGTAACTAAATCTAAAGAATAAATTGGGTATGTTATAGGATCTGAGTATAACACCCGTGAGTAATTCAGAGTAATTGTTATGTAATGATAAAATTATTTTGGCTCCCAGCTGGCTAATAAAAAGTAATTATTTTAACTAATTAACTAATTTTGAATGGGTAGTACATGCACATAGTGAAGTATTTTTAAAATGTAGGCCCAGCATGGTGGCTTATACTTGCAATCCCAGAACTTTGGGAGATGGAGGCAGGAGGATCTCTTGAGGCCAGGAATGCCAGATCAGCCTGGGCATCATAGCAAGACGCTGTCTCGACGTCTCGACAAAATCTTTTTTTTTTTTTTTTTTTTTTTTTAAATTAGGTGGGTTTTGTAGCACGTGCCTTTAGCCCCAGGTATTCAGGAGGCTGAGGTGGGAGGATCACTTGAGCCTAGGAGTTTGGGGTTACAGTGACCTCTGATGGCACCACTGCATTCCAGCCTGGGTAGCAGAGTGAGACCCTGTCTTTAAAAATAAAGTAAAAAATCCAAGTGGTTACACATTGAAAAATAGTTTGTCCCTCATCTCTTCCCCAGACACTCTCCAGAGAAAACCACTCCTATCACTTTCCTATGTATATTTCCAGATTGTATATATTATATATATATAACAATATACATAAATTTTTCACAAATGGTAAGCTTTTATATAGACTTCTGAACTTTGCTTCTTTTTGGTAAGAATGTATCTTAAAGGTGATTGCATATGTCTATTTAAAGCTGCTTTATTTATTTACAAAGTTTTTCTTGAAAGACACATACAAGAAATATAAGTTGTAAGTGTACAATGTGATGATTTTCCAGTGAGCCTGGCCTGAAACAATTTTTAAAGAGAAGAATATGGTGGGAGTAATCAATTATTCAATTTTAAGACATCATATAGCTACAGTACTCAAGACTGTGTGGTATCTTGGGGATATAGGTATAGAGATCAGTTAGACACAATACAAAACCCAGAAATAGACCCATGAAAGTATGTCCACCTGAGTTTTTTCCCTTTTTTTTTTTAATTGCATTTTAGGTTTTGGGGTACATGTGAAGAACATGCAAGATTGTTGCATAGGTACACACATGGCAGTGTGATTTGCTGCCTTCCTCCCCATCACTTATATCTGGCATTTCTCCCCATGCTATCTCTCCCCAGCTCCCCATCCCCCACTGTCCCTCTCTTATTTCCCCCCCAACAGACCCCAGTGTGTGATAATCCCCTCCCTGTGTCCATGTGTTCTCATTGTTAAACACCCACCTATGAGTGAAAACATGGTGTTTGATTTTCTGTTCTTGTGTCAGTTTGCTGAGAATGATGGTTTCCAGGTTCATCCATGTCCCTACAAAGGACACGAATTCATCGTTTTTGATGGCTGCATGATATTCCATGGTGTATATGTGCCACATTTTTCCCTGTCCAGTCTATCATCGATGGGCATTTGGGTTGGTTCCAGGTCTTTGCTATTGTAAACAGTGCTGCAGTGGACATTTGTGTGCATGTGTCCTTATAGTAGGACGATTTATAATCCTTTGGATATATACCCAGTAATGGGATTGCTGGGTCAAATGGAATTTCTATTTCTAAGTCCTTGAGGAATCGCCACACTGTCTTCCACAATGGTTGAACTAATTTACACTATTTAAGACAGTGTAAAAGTGTTCTATTTCTCCACATCCTCTCCAGCATCTGTTATCTCCAGATATTTTAATGATCGCCATTCTAACCGATGTGAGATGGTATCGCAATGTAGTTTTGATTTGCATTTCTCTAATGACCAGTGATGATGAGCATTTTTTCATATGTTTGTTGGCCTCATGTATGTCTTCTTTTGTAAAGTGTCTGTTCATGTCCTTTGCCCACTTTTGAATGGGCTTGTTTGTTTTTTTCTTTTAAATCTGTTTTAGTTCTTTGTAGATTCTGGATATCAGCTCTTTGTCAGATGGGTAGACTGCAAAAAGTTTTTCTCATTCTATTGGTTGCCGATTCACTCTAATGACTGTTTCTTTTGTTGTGCAGAAGCTGTGGAGTTTGATTAGGTCCCATTTGTCTATTTTAGCTTTTGTTACCATTTGTCTATTTTGGCTTTTGGTGTTTTGGTCATGAAATCCTTGCCTACACCTATGTCCTGAATGGTTTTGCCTAGATTTTCTTATAGGGTTTTTATGGTGTTAGGTCTTACGTTTAAGTCTTTAATCCATCTGGAGTTAATTTTAGTGTAAGGTGTCAGGAAGGGGTCCTTTCTGTACATGGCTAGCCAGTTTTCCCAACACCATTTATTAAACAGGGAATCCTTTCCCCATTGCTTTTGTCAGGTTTGCCAAAGATCAGATGGTAGTAGATGTGTGGTGTT